ATAGATAGATAGATAGATAGATAGATAGATAGATAGATAGATAGATACTGTGTTTCTCATATAATAAGGCCGGGTCTTATTTTTTTTTGAGCCCTGAAAAAATGGCTAGGCCGTCTTTTCGGGGGTGACTTATTTCCCCCCCTCTTGCATCTTTGGGTGGGCGGGCAGTGACGGCTTGGATGTTGACCTCGGCGTTGGTGGGGCACTTCGTATCGAGGTCAACGCAGGCAGCACCATATCCAGGTGTGCAACAAAAGTACTACCTAACGGCAAGCCCCACCATTCCCCCCATTTCGCATGTTTTAATATAGGCCTTAATTTGGGGGGAGGGGCTTAATTTCATTTCATGCCTATAAAACATGCTGGGACTTCCTATTGGGGGAGGCCGTATTGTTGGAGAAACAGGGTAGATAGATAGATAGATAGACATATAGAGTTTCAGCATTTCCAAGTAGAATTCATAAGAACAGCCCAGGACAGGTGTTCAGAGGATTGTTTCTAAGGAAAGCCAGCCATGAACAAGCCCCAGACTAAACTTCTAGGTAATGGCCAATTAGTCTATCAAACAGAGGTTCAAAACATGAACACAAAGCCTCCTGGCAACCTAAACTAAACCCAAGTAGCTCATAAGCTGCAGTCTCAGAAACAAAAACAAACATCTGGCCATGACTCCCACATGGTGCTTCCAGCAATGCCTCCCTCTGACTACTGTGCTAAATAGCTCCCTTTGCAGACCATCAAAAGGGGTCGGCCCTTTTCCTGAGCAATTTGGCAGGCCTCCGCCTCTTTTTATTTATTTATTTATTTGTTTGTTTATTTATTATTTATTTTTGCCAATTGCTTACAAGATAATAGGTTACAAGATAAAATAATACCCTTCATACTTTGGGATTCACCACAGTGTGTAGCTCTTCCCCCTCTTCCCCACTGGCCTGCAAGCTCTCCCCAGCTGAGACCTGTTCTGCTGGGAGTTCAGGGTCATTAATTCCTGATGTGCCAGGAATGATCCCATTCTCCCTTGAGCTGTCCTCTGAGGAAGAAGTAGAGGAGTCATCGTCCACAGGAGACATCACAATTCTTGGCAACTGGCTTGCATTTGCAGGCATGATGTAGGAGATGATGAGGCTGAAGCTAAGAGAAGGGTCAAATGCATCACTAGTCAAAGTACAGCCCACCTTGAATTTCTTCTTAACAGCCACTTATTTCCTTTGACCATTAGTAGTTCAGATTGTTGTGGAAAGTTTAAACCTGCAGGAAATCTTTATACTCATTTGAACTGCTTAAATCTCCTGATTTTCCCAGAGCTTGACAAATTTGCATTACCTCATGGTCATATGACCCATGTCTTATAATGTTTTTGCTGAAAGCAGGCACTTACAATGTGTTCTCTTAATGACTGTGGCTTTTGCTTAATGACTTTGTTGATTTACTTAATGACCATTGCAAAAAAAAAAGGTGTAAAATCTGGTCAGTCACATGATGAGTTCCTTTATAACCATCATTAACATAATTGTCAGGTTCCATTATGATCGTTCATCAAGGACCGCCTATATACGACTTCAGCAATAGAGTGGTCAATGTCTGGAATACTCTACCTGACTCTGTAGTCTCTTCCCCAAACGCCAAAAACTTTAACCTTAGACTGTCTACTATTGACCTCACCCCTTTCCTAAGAGGCCTGTAGGGGGCGTGCATAAGCGCACTAACGTGCCTACCGTCCCTGTCCTATTGTTTCTCTTATTCTTTTATTTTTCTTATATGTACCCATTTCATATATTCACAACTATGTATACACTTGTACTTATTATCTTGTAAACAATTGACAAATCAAATAAATAAATAAATAAATAAAATAAATAAAAATAAATATATGTGTATATAAAATAAAGCATTATTTTAAACGAAAACAAGGGCAGTAAAAGCTATAACTAAATATAGAAATAAGTAATGATGACTTAAATCCAATTTAAATAACATGTGTCCATGGTTGGTGAAAACTTTTCAGTGAAGTCGTTGATCAAAATTTGCAGCTGGGAGGGAAGAAGACTCAGCAGATGAGTTATTTTTGAAAAGGGTAAGCCAGTCTGTCTTAGCCGCTAGAGTCTGTCTAAATAAATGAGAAGGATCATCTCCATCTTATCAAAACAAACAGCATGTGGTCAATAATGAGGTGTCAAGGGATAATCTTGTGCATTCCTTATAAAAAAAAGATCCAGTACTTCTGTTATACACTGAGAAACTGATAAATGTATGTATTTATGCTTAATGTAGGAGACACAGTGAAGGTGAATGCTCAAGCAATGGCACATGAAATCTAACAGATAATTAAGAAGGCAGTCTCCTAAAACTCGAGTTCAGTTCCTTGTCATTCTCATATAGCCATTTGTTCTCTTTTGTTTTTGCCAACAATATAAAAGTAGGTTTCTATTAACTTCTCTCTGTGTCCTTGTATGTCTTTCTTTTTTGTATGATTGTTCAAGAGTTTTCTGGTGGTGTTCCTGGAATTTCTTGATTTGGGATTTTTATCCAAAATGCCAACTTGATCCAGCCCTGTTTAGCTTTTCAGGTTCAGTCAAGGTTAACCAGATAGACAACATATGTGTAGAATCTTTAAAAGACGCCATTAAAATTAAATGAGTTGCTAGTCTCCGAGAGGGAGTGACTGGCTTAGAGTCACCGAGTTCAGTGATGGCTAACCTTTTCAGTCCCCAAAGCGTGTGCACATTCCCAAAATTCAATGCGCACACCCCTCATGCATGCGCCCTGCCTCCGCATATGCATGCATGACCCCCTGTCCCTGTGCATGCCCCTTGATCCCTGTGCATGTGTGCACGACCCCTGTGCATGCACAGCAGATATCCAAAGGCCAGCTGGCCGGCGGGAGGTGCACATGCACATGGTGGTAGAGCTGAGATGAGCTGGGCTGACAGGTCATTTGCCCAGAGAGAGGGCTCTGCATGTCACCTCTGGCATGCCTGCCATAGGTTCACCATCATGGACCTAGTAGGTCAAGCCTAGAACAGATCTAGAACTCATGGTTTCCCAATTTGTAAGCTGGTACCTTTAACCACTACCCAGTCCGGCTTTCAATAATATATGTACATTTATTTGTTATATTTTTAAGTATTAACTTAGGGTTAGAATCATGCCTGAGAAAGATACTCACTTCTAAATTAATCAGTTAATTCCTTCTTAGGAGTATTGGAGTGATGTTCAGTGGTCTTTGAGGAAGTTTCAATTCTATTAATATTCAAGGCACATTTTTGTTCTGGAAAGGACACAAAGTGACCTTTTTCCTATCTTGTCAGTTCTGAATTCTTATGTTATATACATTATTCAGTGACCCAGGTAAAGGCAACATTAGGACAAACCAGAGGTGGTATTCAGCAAGTTCCGACCAGTTCTGGAGAACCAAGAGTGGAAATTTTGAGTAGTTCGGAGAACTGGCAAATACTACATCTGATTTTACAGTATCCTTCCCCTGCCACGCCCACCAAGCCACGCCCACAGTACCAGTAGTAAAAAAAAAATTGAATCCCACCACTGGGACAAACCATATCTTTCTGCTGTGCAGGATTAATAGATATTTCTTTACAATAAGGGTAAGTGTGTTTTGATAATAGCCTGCTAGTGGCTTGTGCTACAACTGTTATTTAACTGACCCTTTCTCTGAGGTGTTAAGTAACCTCATATACAATGAAATAAGAGTTTGACATTTTGTTTATTTGTTTGTTTGCTCACTTTGGCATTTACTGTTAAACAAACAAACAAACAAGCCAACAACTGGCTGAAGGCTAAAACTTATTTTATATTAGTATTGGCAGATCCTAAAGGTTGAGCATGCTGATTAAATACTATATGCTTTCTTTTCAGTTAATCTGTCAAGTTTTCTCCTGGCAGTATTATTATAAAATATTTAATGAAATGGTACCGTCAAACACTTCTATTTGGAGTTAAATGTCACACATCAGTTTTGGAGTATTCACTTTTGTTGATGTTGGAATGGTTTTTTTTTTTTATAACTAAAAGTGTTCTTTTTCCACTGATAGCTAATAAACCTAATGAATTTAATTATTTTATGCTTACCAATGATAATATATGTGCAATCTGTGACAACCTCTACTCAATCTTGAAAAGATTCAAAAGCACAACATAATTCATTTCATTTATATCATTTCATCTACTGCAACCTTAATTTTTTAATAATATGTGTAGTAAACAGATATGATTAAATGCCAGGTCTGTGGAAAAGAGTGACATTGACAGTGCACTCCTATTCTTACTCAGAAATGTGTCTGTTCAAAAAAGTATATCAACAAATAAGGGAATACCATGGAAATCCACAAAGGACAATGTAAAGCACAATATTTCATTTGTGTATTTATGTAATTCTGTAAGTGGCACAAATGATGTAATTTACAATGGTACATTTGGCTTCCTTTACAAGATGATGTCGTGGTACAAATAGATAATGGCTTAAACAACTTTGATCCCACACATTATTATTAAAACAGATGATAGATAAAATGAATAATGGAGTAAAATAAAGAAGGCATACTCAAAGAAGCAAGAGTCTCAGTGGCTTTTAAATGACAGGGGTTGAAGTTAAGTACAGAATTTTAAGAGATTGGATACTGCAAGCTCTCATTTATTAGCAAATTTATTAAACTGCTATCTCTTTGAATATTATGAACCTCATCTTCCTGGGATTTTTGCAATCCTGGATTGAACTTCTTTTTTATTAGATAATCTACTCACAGTTCCTATCTTTTAGTTGCTTATTTCTAATATTCTTCCCAATACTTTCACAAACCTCTCTTTAATAGATGTGAATCATAATGCCACAATCATTTCTTGCAGGGATAAAAATATATTTAGGATTCCTAGAATGTGTTAATTACCCCCCTCCCCCCAAAAAAAGTGAATCAAAGCTTTTGTTGATTTATTCCTTTCCCTTCTCTTTTTTCCCCTAGGCTCTGTGGCCACGGCGTGTAGAGATCCAGGCGTCCCCATGAATGGAACCCGTAATGGAGATGGAAGAGAACCTGGGGACACGGTGCTATTTCAATGTGATCCTGGCTATGAGTTGCAAGGAGATGAGCGAATAACCTGCATTCAGGTAGAAAATCGGTACTTCTGGCAGCCCAACCCACCAGTCTGTATAGGTATGCAGAAACCTAAAGAAGACACAACTGCTTTTCTGAACTCTGGAAACATGTAATAATCCTTATTACATTGTCATAAAGCCCAAAGTCAGCAGCCAATAGTTGGCAGCTTTGTGTTAAATATAAATGGAAGGACAGCCCACTTTGTTTGGGTAGGACAATATTCTGTATTTTTTTTTAAAAAAAAAAACATACTTTACAAGAGAAAAGAAGGGAGGACAGCACTTAAAACTACTTTCCTAAAAGAAAAATTAATCAATACCCAATATAGTTAGCTTCATTTATAAGATGCCTACAAATTCAATTACTATGGTTGCCTATACTGGATGAAGTTGTTCTTCATTGTTTTCATTTTTTAATCTCCTAAATAGGATATTTTTTGGGTTCTGTGGGATAAAGAGTCACCTATGATGAATAGTGGGCAAAATGAAAATGTTCTGGCCCTGTTGGATTACTTTAATGCATTGTACCTTTTACAATGAAAAGTTCAAATACATTTTTTTTTAAATAAATGAACAAAGCATTCTGCCTTCCCATCTCCCTGGTTTTCCTGTGTTTAGTCTGCTTTGACAGACTTCATCCCTACTGTTTTTCAGCAAATTGATTAAATAATTTCATAGTGTCATTGTATTTTTTTTATTTGCATTAGGATTAAGAAGGAGATCTAAAAATTAGAGTATGACTACTGCATATTTGGCCTTCTGATGCCCCCCTCCCTTAAACAGCTCAGGAAATAGGTACAGAAATTCTGCAGAGCATCTGAAACAGATATCGATTTTCTAATAAGGGAAATGCAGACAATTATTGTCCTCACTTTATGATCAGGTCCCCTTATAGAAAAGACAGTATCTATCTGTCTATCTATCTATCTATCTATCTATCTATCTATCTATCTATCTATCACCTATCATCTAAACTCATTCTTGTTGAAATATTTTTTATTCTATTTTTTTTTCCAAATTCTATTTCATATATAGCTTTTATATTAAATTTGTTTGTGTTAATAAAAATTCATAGAAAAGTATTGGCTAATAACATAAACACAATTTTATGACAGTTATTTTTAGGAATTTTATTATTTGTTTTATTAGAATTAATTAGTTGGAGAATGTTTTTGGATGTTGCAAAATGTTAAACAGCTTTATTTTCTGCAATGATGGGAAAAATACAATAACCCAGATGTATACCTTGGCATGTGTTTAATTAACAACATTGAACAAAGACTTTAATTTGCTAAATTTAAAAAAGACAAGAAGAAATCCATATAATTATTTAATTGCTGAAAATTAAAATGTATGAGTACTTTAAGATGCTTTTACTGCCTAGTTGATTCTCATCTGCATCAGGAGTAGTTTCTTAGGATATATTTGCATCATTGTCTTTAATTGTTAATTAAAAACATTACTAAATTCTGAGATAAACATGAAAACTTAATGTAACTGTGAAGTCCATTAGAGATAGTCAAAATGATGCAAAAGCAGAGATAGGTTGTTTTATCGTGATTTTTTTTTTCTGAAATAAATCAGCAGAAATTGAGACATTAATTATATTAACTTTGTGCCAAAGCAAAAATCATTTTAAATGTAAATAATAAATAATTTTATTGGAATAGATAGATAGATAGATAGATAGATAGATAGATAGATAGATAGATA